CAAAGGGAACAGCCTCCGGCCGGATTTTCACAAACTGAGTGCCAACGCCCGAGGTTTCCTGCCGGTGGTACGGACATCGGTTGATGGATCGTGATGAAACTTCCCATGCATGTTGGGGCAAGTATTGGCTATCATATGGTATAAGAAACTTGACCGGGTCAGGTCAGGTCACGGAGATATGACGTCACAAGAGGAACAGCGTCCGGTACTATTTTTGAAAAGCGCCCGAACCACTATTTTGCTAATTCTTGTCACCTCAATGGGAATATGCAGCAATATTAGCTTCTATAGGGAGCAAATGGACCTCCCAAATCCAAAAAATACAATCAGATTTCAAAAATTTAAATTTTGATTTTTCAAATTTCTGCCGCCGACTGTGACCTTGCCGACTTCCGGCGCTCCCAACGCGCCATTTTTAGAGCTAGGGAAACGAAATACATACCAAACGATAGAGAATTGATCAAGGAACACGATAGTGAAGATTTCAAGTCGATATCTCCCACCGTTTTGCCGCAATCGCCGCGGAAAGTTGAAAAACAGTCTATTTTTCCGAAAATTTGACCTTTGACCGGTCAAAAGTAGGTCAAATGTTGACCTAGGACCAAAAAATATACCACCAATCGCGAGATCTCGGCGAGAGCAATCCGTTGGTCTTTTCCGCTAATCTCTACGACGCTTCGTTTTCAAACGCCAAGGGGGGGGGTCGCACCAACCCCCCCCCTGCATGGGCGAAGGTGGCAGATCGCCGTTTACGGGCGAGGGTAAATATATCGGAATTTTGATATCGGTGACCTAAGCTCAGGTTAATTTTGCGACCTCTCCATATGTACGGATAGGTACCTATTAGTTCCCGAGTTAGCCGTTGGCAGTTTCCAAAATTGTTGAAATGGACTACATTTGACCCTTGATAACCTCTGGCGACCTGACCTTTGACCTGACCCAAAAAATGACTGAATAATTCCGTCATTATTTTTGACGCTCTTTCGAATGCCGCTTACCGCGTGTCGCTACGTGGCTCAGGAGCCGAGTTAGACGGGGGGGGGGGGGTGTTCAGACACTCTCCCCTCGGCCCGGCCCGGAAGTCGCGGAGCACCTTCCGGGTTAACTTGTTTAGCGGCGGTAAGAGCCCAAAGTGTGAACATGCCGAAATATTGATAATATCTACTTTGATATGAAAAGTGACTCCTAAATGGCGTCATAGGAACTGTGGGGGCCCCAAAAAGTAGCCAAAAGTAAAAGTCAAATATCTCAAAAACCGGTAAATATTTTTTGGTGAAATATGGTGTATATGGTACATCACTTTTATGCCAATTCATTGACTTTTTTGAAGGTGGGAGGGTCCCTCTTCTCGCCAATTTTTGCACTATGTTGCCGCCTATGCTTTCGCTTTTTCAAATATTTTCCTTTTCTATATTTTGTCTTTTCGATAGTCTGCGTTTGATATTTTGTCTTTTCGATATAATGCCTTCGATACTTTGTCTTTTCGATATTCTGCTTTCGATATTTTCTCCTTTCGATATCATGCATTCGATATTTTACCTTTTGATATTCTGCTTTCGATAGTTGGCTTTCCGTTCCTTTCTATATCCATTCTGTTTTTTTTTTTATAGGTACTTTGTCTGTTCGATAATTAGCGTGACGTAATGCTTGACTTGACATGAACTAGCCTGTATAAAAATTGTACACACTGTCCTCCCGTAACCCATGCCGTTTAGGCGTTTACCGCTTGCCGCTAGCTTCTTCGTTTTCCAGATTTTAGGGGCATGTACCCATCCCCCATCCCCCGCAGGTGCGACATTGGGCCGGACTCCCAAAGACGTGCAAGTTGAAGATCACATGCAGTGTATCAATCGACCTGTATTGTTCACCTGAAAACATTTCAGATGCTTCATTGCTCTATCAAGGCTCTAACGTGAGTTATTGTCGAAGACCCTTAGAAGACCTTTTATGACCCAACATTACTTTTTGAGTGACCTGTGGTCATCTACTGCAGCCTGTCTATATGGGTAGAGATGTCATGTTTCTGATAATGTCTTGTTGATTTGACGTGTTTCTTCAAATTTTGTGTAGGCATTTGCACTTTTCCCAAAAGCTTTATCATGGTGAGGCCCCAAATCTGATCTAACCTCAGGTCACACATATAAAAATCCAATATGATAAATGATGTTGCTGATGCTTTCATGCAATACGCCACTGTTTCAAACTTCTTAGTGATGGGCTGTAGAAATCTCAGAAATAGTTATTTTTTAAGAGGTGCTTATATACATAACTTGACCTGTGACATGGCCTCAAGTGACCTGTGGTTAAAAAAATTAAACACACTATGCAAATTTGATGTTTGATAAGCTTTACTAATTTCCGCGGTAAAGCGATTCGCAGTTTTCTTTACACCCGCAAACAAAGTCGAGTTTCAGCAGCCCCCCTCTTAACTCGCCAGAGTAAAGAGGGGGGCTGCAAACAAAGTCGAGTTTCAGCAGCCCCCTCTTAAACTCGCCAGAGTGAAGGTTAAGATCAACTTGGCGCCTGGGGAGAAAACGGTAACCCTTGCCGGACCTATCGGTTTTCTACCTACGCGCCGGCCGAGGGGGGTTAGTACGACCCGCTCGCCGTTTCGTCTCTGATCGAGCTAGAGCTTCGCAAAAAACAGCGTATGGGCCTTACGAGACGCAGCGACTGGCACCCTACTTTAAGGTCTCAGGTCAACAGGTGACCTCTGAGCCCTGAGGTCAGGTCCAGTGGCCCAGGACACAGGCTCAATTTTTGATAAATAACTTCGCAAAAAAATGGTTGCGCCGCCGCGGTTTTGCCATCATCGTGTTTGTCTCCTTCAGACGCGTCAAATAGTATAATTTTCGTTCGGATGATGTCAACCTGAGGTGAAATCTCGGGTCGGGTCTATGTAGGTTAGGTCAGAGCCTCCCAGGTCACGAAGCTGGTCGAAGGAGCTCATAATGCATATCATTCGATTCGACAGGTCTTCCTGAGTCCATTGCTGGCTTTTCCGACCCGCTAGCTCAATTTTATCGGGAGTTATTAGCGAAAAACTCCTATGTCCCTAGTGACTATATGAATGCGTCATGAATGACGTCACGCAAGGTCAATAATGCAAAAGTAAGCATCAGGCCTTCCAAGGAATGCATGAAATCACTATTACGTGTCTCAGAGATAATTTGAGATCGTTCCCGGTGCCAAAATAGCAGTTTTTCATTTTTCCCATTGACATTTTTCCCAATGGTGATGTCACGTAACCGACCTAACCTCATTTTTCCATTCCATTCCATTCCAGAATGTTTATTGCATATCGACAACCTAGTAAAATGATCGGAAAATGAACATGAATAACAGAGATAAAGCAAAATAATACAAGAATGGTGCAAAAACACATTGTGCTTGACTCTAGGCACCACCTCTTGTAACATAATCAGATAGATACCATAAACATAAATTAACATGAACATAGCCTTCAGATCAACGTCGAATGAAGCGGCGCAGGCTGGTTGACGTAAACATACAACGTAATGAAGGTAACGTAGCGTAATGAAACAAAACTACCATGTGACTTTGACCTCACCTCATGTGGCCTTTAGGAAACAATCCGAGATATACGAGCTGTGAGACCTCTGGAGGATACTTCGTCTCGTAAGTTTCACCTCCCTGTAAAAGTTCCTCTGGCACTGAGGGCGTTGCGAAGTTGGGACATCTGAGGACCGTGCAGAGGTTCACTGACGTAAAATGCGGTTTTGTCGCAAGATTTGGCTTGAATCAAAGGTCAGGTATCCAAGTTTCAGCTCTCTATCGCCGGCGTTTTCGGAGCTATTGCGAAAAAGCCTATGGGGGGACGGCACCCGCTGCCCCCCCCCCCCCACTCGGCCGGCGAGGGTTAAAACTTATGCTTTTCGGAAGAACTACTGCGCATTATTTTTTTCCTATCCAAATCTTGTATTTTTTCAATTTTGCGAGCGTCTGCATGTCTTCAAGTAGAGCCCAATGAACAATACTTATACGCACAGCTGTTGGGATGGTTTGGTTTTCGTTTTTTTTTGCAATGTTTTTTTGCAGATGTTCAGAAGCGGTGGTGGGGTGGTAAGGACTTTTTTGTGTCATGAGGTGCTTTTGACACATATCTGTGGTACGTGCTGGGAAAAGACCCAGATCCTTCTAGGTCAGACCATTAGGATCAAAAATGAGCTGGCTCGGACAAAGTACCGGTAATGGCCAGATGCGTTAGTCTACCTAAATTAACCTTCGTCCAACGTTTTTCAGGAATGTCGCTACTCAAGTCAACTGAGTGGAGAATTTTTTGCATATTTTTTCATCGTTTCATCTCTGCAAAAGGAATGAAATATCACTGGCCTAAGGCCAGCGACAAAAATAGACTTGGTGGTACCCTATGGTGATCAAAGCTGTGAATTGAAAGGTGAGCGTTTCAAACCCACCCCCAGTCAGAAAGTAGCAGTCCGCACTACTATTGGTTTAGTTGAAAATAATTGTACATTACTGCATATTCTATACCACGAAATGTGGTGATTTCATTTGCTGACCCCACTCGATGAAAGCGCCGGGTGAGTGTCAGAAGCTGCCCCCATTCCACCGGCCCCCACTTACATCGAGCGAGATAAACCGGCGGTATGTCAGTGGCCGGCTACGCACAACGGCGCGCGGCAATTTCCCACAGCAGTAATTAATCACAGACAGCAGCGCGATCGTTAGGCTCCTTTATGCCGGTGCCTGAGGAGGCTCCCGCGCGCCGGCTCCCTGCTCTGGCTCCCGCGCCGGTTCCTGCGCTGGCCTCTCGGGTCGCTCCTCTGCTCCCCGACCCGTCTCGCCCAGCCCCTGTTTACCTCGTTTCGCCACCATACAGTAGCGGCCGGACGGACAAAAGAGCAGGACGGCTCGCGCGGGCGCTGTTTTGCATAACTGAGCGCCGGCCCGACGCGGCTGATTATTCCACAACCCTTGCCTTTTTGCGGGCGGGCCGGCGCGGTCGGCAGAGGGCGCCCGCGGTGGTGCCCGCGGCGGCGGCGGCGCGGCGGCGCGGCGGCGGCGGTGCGCCGCGCCGGCCGCCGCCAGACGTGAGCGGAGCGGCGCGAGGGACGAGTGATGCCTGTGCACGCAGCAGCCATGTGGAGCTCGGCGGTCCTGGCAGTGTGCGCGGCGGGCCTGGCGGCGGCCACCTCGGCCACTGAGGACAGGGCGGCTCTCTCGGCACAGTGCAGGGCCATGTGTCTGGACGAGGTGAGTGGAGGACGGGAGGTCGCTGGCCTGCGAAGTGGTGTCTTGTTTACTACGATTGCCTTTTTCAGTTAGATTTGCATGCATTGCTATGATTTTTAACGCTCTTTCACATTGACTTTCCCAACGTAATGCGATTATTATAATACCTAATATTATTTCAGTAAGTGCGCTGACTCACCTGACACCAATTGTTTCACACTCAACGCTATTCATGAAGTTCGCGCTTTCCGGCCATCTGTTCCTTGCTGTTCATTATATGTTGGAAAATGGTGTTATTTCTTCTCATAAGATGTCACGCAATATCCTAAGCTGAAGGCTGACAATACATAGATTCTGCTTCGCTAAGATGCCTACGCGTCATCCCAATAACTGCATGCTTTTGTCATGGTAAATCATTGGTGTCACAGAGGAGGACAGACCATTCCATCATGCTCCAGCATCTGACAAATCCCGTCATTTTGCCCTCGTTAACCATCAGACGTGCCATCAAAGGCGCTCGATCGTCACCTCCTCTCCTTGTCATCGTCATGAAATATCAGGGCTCTGTCCATTTTTACAATGTTACGCTCACGAGAACAGCATTATGATTTATCTTTTGTCTCTGAACGGAGGGCTTATCAAACTGTCTGCCACCGTGTTGGTCACGATTTCTTCCTAGCTGTCCTGCTGTAATCTGACGAGCACGTTTCATGTGATAGGTGCCGATGGCACAAACGTCCCTCGCTTGCCGTAACTTCAATGCAGACGACATTATCCATAGCACATCGAGTCTGGTTTCTCAATGTCGGTATTGTCAGATGCAGTTGTCCTGGTCTGTTCTCATCGGAGATAGAGTGCCTTTGAACAATGCGTACTAACCAGCCATGCATTTAACTTGCATTGGCAGGGCCGTCATTGAGCGCTTGCTTCGGTACTAGCACATCTCTTTTCTACGTCACGGTGTACGAGGATTATGCTGATTGGACATGGCTTTTCGATCTCAACCATTAGGAAATATTGACGTTGCTTGTAAAGTAATCCTCAGAAATATTCAAGAATATTGTTCAGCCAGTCAATGTCTGGAAACAAACCAGCAGAAACTGCACATCACAAGTTTGGATCCGTCATTTTCCGACGAAACTGCCGCTGCGCTGCGTCGTGACTGAGATTTACGGCCTTGCGCAATCGGCCCCGCCGCTCTGTGGACGCTAATGCTAAACCACAACACTGCAGCTTGCGACAGCGTCCTCAGGTCACCGGATCTGCCCATATTGTGACCACATTGTGCGTTTTTAGTTCGGGAGCTCTAAAACATTTGTTTCTAATGTTGTCAAAAATGTAGCTGTCTGGTAAGAATTTTTTTGTATGCATTCAAGAAAATTCGCTAATGAAAAAGTAAGTCATGGCTACCCACTAACAAATTATACATTTTCATATTCACTCGGTACTTCAGTCAGGCTCCATTCATCGCCCGTCAAAATTGCAGCGTACTAACGTGCCAAATGGCTTTGAGATCACAAGTCATGAGGGGGGGGGGGGGGGTCAGCTCAGCTTTGTTACCATTCATAGCTCGCTACACAGAGCAGCACAGACTAAAACCAGACGCAGACCATTCCCTTTTCAGATCAGAAGCACCCAACTTTCCTTCTTACACCGTCCGCTCCGAGCCCTACGGTCCGCAGTCCGCACCGCGGTGCTAATAGAGGGGTGGACCAAAATGGCGCCCGCCCGGCCGGTCGCGCCGGACCGAGCCCGTGCTGTCAGTGGGCGGACAGGACAGCGCGCTCGCTGCACGCTCATGGCACGGACAATGGGGACGCATTGGCGGCAGACGAGCCGGGAGACGGCACACCGCCTCTAGTGCAGTCACTGAGACACCTGAGAATAGGTAGTGTTTGAAAGTACCGATGTTTGTTTCTGGGTAGTATGCATGATTTGCGTCAGGTTTCTCAGATACACTTATCTGGTTTTGTTTTCTGTAAGTTATGCGGTCTTGATGGGTAATCTCACTCAGATGAATGCATGTTCTTACGGTGCAGTAGAGCTTATCCCACGGTCCGACGGAGTCGCCAGCGGTGACGTGGTGACGGCGACTGATGTGTATCAGTTCTGACGTCTTCCCGGTGTGCCGAGCGGTGCTTCAAACGACACTATCCCCCCCAGACCCCCTCTCTGAGCCCGGAGTCCAGACATATCTCGGGTGACCTCGGTGCGTTTCCTGTGCGTGGTCGGGTCGGCGCGGCGGGCGGTCTCCCGCCGGCGGCTTACTGCAAACAGCTCAGCCGCCGCCACCACCGATCAATTAACGTGTCATTTCCGGTGGTGGACCGGCCGGCCGTCAGCGAGGGCCCCGCGCGACAGGGAGCCGGCCGCTCTGGGTCCGCCGTTGGGCCCCCGCCGGCGGCGAGTTTCTCACATCCACCAGCGCGACCCAGTCGGTCCGACTGGGCCGGCCGGCCGGAGCTCACAAAGGCCGGCCGGTCGTCTCCGCGCCCGGCGGACAATATCAATGGTGCCGGGCCCAAAGGCCGCTTAGAATCGCGTCTCCATTCAGCCGCCAGCCGAGGGCGCATATTTTCGCGGCCGGCACAGCGACGGCGGCGGGGGGCATTCACCAGAAGCGCTATCAGTGCGGCCCGCTTTCACGCGGTCACAATCGACGTCGTCTAATGCGACGGCGAGCTGTCGCGGCATTCATAGCTCACACGGTCCCGGCTGACAAATAGAAATAAGGTGTAACCAATGGCGCTAAGCGGCAGCCGACCTTTCACGCGGCGACAGGAGCGGCGCAAAATAGCCGGGTCGAGGACAATCCGGCGCGCCTGACAACAGGTACCCTTCCGCCAGCCGCGGCCGAGACGGCCATTGAAGGGTTCGCCCGGGTGGCTTTCTTCGATCTGGCCCGATTGTGTAAGCTTCTTACCGTGTAAAATTGGCTCCCGGCTTCCTTTCCGGCGCCCAGTTGAAGGAGTACTTTTCTTACCAGTCTCTGTCAAAAATTGGTTGACGTTTTGGTAATACGCTGGGCTGATAAATAGCGTCAGTTACCTTTGCAAAGCCAAGTTCTGACTTTTACAAAGCCTAATGAAGCAGCAGTGAATAGCGAAAAAAACTGCGGTTAGATACTTTTCCAAGCCAGCTCGTCTAACAATCAAGTCTGGAGCTGACCAGTGCCGGAATAGCGATACCATCAGTCCATGTGCGCGCGAGCCTGGCCTGACGTGCCGTCGCTCAGAACCAGCCTGTCGGTTTTTTCCTCGGCGACAGCGTCACCTCCTGCGGACAGGCTGCACGTTTCACGGTGTTAGGGCGCGCGTGTTCTCCTCTGGGCGACGTGATTCCCCGCGACGGAGAGCGGCCATCGCGGCGCAGACTCATTGCGGAGCGGTGCGACAGATTCCTCTCCTTTGTGCGTCAGATTGGCTCACTTCCTGGCGCTGGCAGGCAGAAATACTCCGTCATTATGGCGTAATTGAAAATCCGGGAGCGCGGCGCGGGCGCCGGAGGTGAAGAAGCACCCGAGTGGCGCTGCCGAAATCGCCCCAGCCGTCACGCACATCCTGTGGACGGCAGTGGCGTCGCAGACAGCGACTCGAGATAAAGGAGACGGGAGACTGCAACGCAGCAGTGTCAGCGCCACCTACTACCGCGGTGACTGCAATACAGCAGCAGCAGTAGCACCAGTAGCGGCGGAGACTGCAACACAGCAGTAGCAGTAGCACTAGCGGCGGCAGAGACTGCGCTGCGGCATAGAACAACAACCCGTCGGCCGGGTGGCGGCCCTCGCGGCGCAGGCTCGCATGATGCGCGATGAAAGGCGCGATAGCCGCGGAAACAGGGCGCTGTCCGACCCGGCTGGGACGGGTGGGCGTGTTTTTGAGCAAACACGACCGGCAGCGGCGCGGGGGGCGCCACCGCGCGCCGGGAGCCGCACTGCGCGCCGCTACTGCGCCGGCCGGACAGAGACGTAAGCGGCGCAGTGGGGCGCGCCGGTTAGTGCGGCGCCTCGCTGCGCCATTGTGCGTGGCCGCCCGCCGGCCGGCCTCGGCGGCAATTTGTCGACGGGCGGCCGCCATTGGGTGCGAGGTTGCGCGGCGGGGTCGGTGCCGGCCCACTATAGACGCTCCCGCGTGGAGCACCTGACCTTGTGAGCCGGGTAGGACCGGGCCGACAGCCGCGCCGCCGACCGGCGCGCTGTTCGGACGGTCGTTAATTTTCAGAGGAATTCGTTGATAACTTTTTGTCTTTTGTTTGAGTGCCCCGTAATGGAAATAATTTTGTGGAAGGGGTTCAGCACGCTGTTCTGATTTATAGCGGCACAAATCCGATGAGGAGTGGGTCGGGCGCCGGGCACAGATTGAGAGCGCGGGCTACCCGAGATTAGGCCCGGTGGACACCATGAGTTATGAGAACACCCGATGATATCACCGCAGCGATATATCGAAACAGACCGACTCGGCCATAGCTCTCCCCAGACCGACAATTTTCCAGCCAATTACCAGCCGTAAACCTGAGCCGGCCGCACTCTTATCCCTTCTAATGTCCGAGCCAGACCACTGAGCACTCCATGGCGCGTTTGTGGGACTGTGTGCATTGTCTGACCAGTCTTTTTGTTTCAGTACGATGTCGGGAAGACCGCCTCTCACACCAAGTGTCTTCAGAACCAGTTTTGCTTTATGGTAAGTGCAGAGTGGCGGGCAGGACAAAAACTTTATAACCATGGCACGTACAAAACAATGGCTTTGATGGTACCGATGGTCTACTTTTTGTGATTCATTAGAGGGCAGATAGATGTCACTTAGCGGATAATTTCATATGACTGCTAAAAACGGTTGCTCTGATTTCCCTTCTCTTTGTGTTAGGAGAGAATCGTGTATTTGTTGTAGAAGTAATCCAGGTGCGGGTTCGATTACGTGAATATGATTTTATCAATCGTGAATTTATTTTGCATTATATAGTATTTTACTTTGTAGTACTTGACAATGCTTACAATGGTACGATGACTAAGCCACCGCAGCCGAAGAGTGCCATGCCGCATTTTTGTCGTTTATTGCATTGACATTTCTGCTTCTTTTGATGACGTGGGATTAAACTCCCCGATCGGCAGTAATGCCACAGACAATTGACGGATGCCAGTCGAATCGTGGCGACTTTTTGCGGCCGCTCAGTAACGAGCTGGGCCTGCCAGCTGAGCAGTAGTGCGGTTCACTTGTGGTCCCATGTGTTGATGCACTTGTGGCCCGGTCTGTCTGCGCACCAGTCTGATATCGTGTCCCGGGGCCGCTCTCCTGCTCTCCTCTGCTCTTGCGCGGCCGTCGTCCTGCGTTCCTCTGATCTGGCGCGGCCGTCGTCCTGCTCTCCTCTGATCTGGCGCGGCCGCGGCCACGAGTCTGGCGTGCGGCCGCTGCGGGCCGGCAGGCAATGAACGACCGGCAAACGGCGCCCACCAGCTGCCCACTTTGGGCGACGCACGGCAACGGCCATTTATAGGGTACTAAACCGCAGCATTCAGAATAACCCGATCTGTTTGCATGCAATGGTGGCTCTCGAAGCGCCCGCGGCGGCGCGCCGGTGTGCAGTAGTGCTCCGGAGGGCTGTCCGCCGGCCATCCCTGTCTTCTGGCCGCGTGTCAGCGCCGCTCAAATGGCCGCAGCCGGCCCTCAGACGCGACAGCCTTCTGCGAAGCCGAGCCGCTGGAGGAGCGGTGGCGAGCCGGACTCAGCGCGGCGCGTCCAATGGCGCCGCCGGCTGAAAGCGCGCGCCGTCCGCTGGCATCACCATCCGAATGCATTCCAGGCGCGCGCGGGGGCTTTATTCGTGGTCGCCCGCCCGTAGTAAAGCCGGGCGGATCCCTGGCGGAGCTCGCTCGGACACGGGCGCGGCTCGCGCTCTGAGAGCTCTGATGGTGAAGGGTGGGTGAGCTCCGGTAGGTCACAGCGCCGCGGCCGGGCCGGTGTGTGACCCTCCCCGGGCGGCGCGGAGGTCCGCTCGTGACCCGCCGTGTGACCCTCGGCGGCGCGGCTTCCTGCGCAGCCGGTAGCGCGGCGGTTCGCTCCGTCGCTAATCAAAGCGCTGGCATCAACAACAGCCGGGCGGCGCGGCGGCGGCGCCGGGCCCCGAGGCCGGTCCGTCAGCTGGCGCGCCACTGCCCAGTAATTGTCCGCGGCTCGCCCGCGGCACCCGCCCGCCATAAGGACGAGAATCCCGGCCGCGCCGGGCGGCGAACACCCTTACGGCCACGCACCGGCGGCCAGGAGTAATTACCGTGGTCTTGCGTCGGTAGGGGCCATTAAGGCCCACCGTGGCCCCGTGTAATATGCCCCTGTGGCCCGGCGGACGGCCGGCGCCGGTTATGCTAAGAGAACCGGGCGGCGTCTGTTCGGGTAATATCAGAGAACTGGCCGGGTTGTGTTTGTCCGTGCGGCCTGTGTCACCGGCCGCCACTCTCCAGAGCAAATACGCACACCGCGCGGCCGATGAAAGCCAGTCATTAGAGCTGCGATCAGGATCAGGCGATTACACGCGCCGCGGCGGCGGCTAATATGAAGCCTCGGCGGCGATCGTGGCGCGATGCCGCCGCGGAGACGAGAAGGAGACTGGGAGGAGGCGAGGGGAGACGGCGGAGCTGCCGCCGCCGGACGACATAATGCGTGTCCCCACTGGATAACATCAGGTGCCGGTGGAGGCCGTGGGTGGGTAATGACACCTGGACCTTCAAAGTGCCGCCGCCTCTGTGTCGCGCCTCCCCACACCCTCCCCCTCTGCCCTTCCACCCTGTCGCCAGCCATCATCTCGCCGGCGTGATCGTCCCGAGATGGGCGGCCCCCCGCTCCGGCCGGCGCGCGGCGCGGCGCGGCGCTCTCTACTGTCTGACCGTCCGTGCCCCTTTGTCCGCAGTGCTGGGAGAAGTGCGCCTCGCTGCAGGACGTGCTGGCAGCCAAGTTCACCTCCTGTGACCGCGTCCCGGACTGTGTAAGTATTTGCCCGGCTGCATGGCTGGCCGTCGGCCGGCGGCGGCGCCGTGCGCTCGCGGCCCTCATCTATCGCCACTCTCGCTGGCACTGGTCGTGACTGGCGTTTAAAGAAAGCGTTGTCGGCACTCGCTGGGCCTGACATCACAATTCTGCGAAACCGCCGGGCGCTGGCGGCGTGGTGTGGCTCGGCGCTGTGCCAGGACCGCCGCCGTCCACCGGTCCCGGCCCTCCGGTGTGCGAGCGGCGCCCCGGACCCTCCGAGCGGCCCTGGGACGCTGCGCCCGGCGTCCGCTCTAAGTAGTATCGTTTAATTGCGTGAGTAGGCTGTTCGAGGCTTTTATAATGACGCAGTGCTCTTGCCAGTACAAAAGAGCAATGGCATCGCGAGCGCTATAAAGTGCAGGCGTATTAGGGCGTAATGAGTCGGCCAGTTGGGCGAAAAACTCGTCACTCGGGCGACATAAAGTCATAAATTCACGCCACGGCGGGGCATTCAGAGCTCACGCCAGCGAGACGGCTAGAATCTGGCTCTGAGGCCAGCAGGAGATTAGTCACACGCAGAGATATCCTCACCGGAGATTCCTGAGTCATGCGTGGATACGGTGACTTGGCCAAGTAAGAACGGTGTTGAAACGGAATCAGTGAAAAATCTCGCGAAACATCTGCTATCCAGCTTATCCAGCCGTGGTTTTGCAATGTGCAGCGCGCTTGGAAACCTTCCACCATCATGCACCTTTTCATACAGGCCACATGTCAAGAGTGTTTTCTGTACTTGTTCACATTTTTGCTGGCCATGCATCCATGCGTCGTTCAAAAGGCGTTCCTAATTCTTATTATCGGCGGTCGTAATTTGTGTTATCTCCAGTCATTTGTGTTTGCGTTCATTATCGATGGATTCAGGGCCTCGGCTAACATGTTAACTACTGGGGCAAATGCCCCAGTAGAGTCGAGGAATGCCCCAGTAGTGGTCAGGCTTTGCCCAACCTCCACAAAATAAGAATATACCAATATTAACGTACATTCTTTCATTCGGGAGCGGTTGAAGACGTTTGTGGCAAGAAATCAGAGGCGGCGGAAGAGGGAGTGCACGGTGTGCAGCTGCACCCTCAATTTCCATCCAAAAACATAGGCGTGCATTGGCAAACATATCTTTTTCCACCCCATAATCCATCTTCGTTCGAAAGAACGTCAAAAATAATGACGAAATTACTTCGGCCACTTTTTTGGTCAGGTCAAAGGTCAGGTCATGGTGATGGCCAAATTTCGCCGATTTTCAGGTCGAATATCGACAGTTTACAAGATGCCGACGCATAACTCGGGAACCAATAAGAGCTACAGCACCGCGGAAAAGCGCATTTGATAGCCATATTAGCATGCTTTCTGGCTATTTCTCTTAGATTTGACCTAACGTCAACGGTTTTGCCTGCAAGGGGCAAAAACTACCAAAATAGACGATTTTTTCGGGAGCAGTTTTTTCTGCAATAACTTTTGACTCATGCCTTGCACGAGCTTTCTTTTACCGACATCGTATTCCTCTCGTCAAGACGCATCAAATTGACTAGAATTTGACCTTGAAGGTCAACTTGAAAATTCGACCTCAGGTCAAGGTCATGATCTGACCGGAAGTTGTCATGTTGCATATCAGTCGATCTGCATCGTCGAGCCAAACACAACTATGGCATTTTCATCGATCTAGCGTTACTCTTTCAAAAGTTATTCGCGAAAAACTGTTAGATACCTACCATTCGTGAACTGAGATGACCTCAGGGGCATAAACAAGGGTCACGGGTGCTATTTTCATGTTCAGTGTGTCAAAGTCGCGTACAGTGTTTTATAGTGTTTAGAATAGCTTACATCCAAAAGAGGTGGTTTTGAATTTTCTCCCATTGACTTATAATAGAGGTCGCAAAATTGAGCTGACCTTAGGTCACCGATATGAAAATTCCGAGATATAAATTTTGTACATGCTGTTGCCCTTATCAATCGCTGAAAGTTTCAAAGCGATATGTCACTCGGTGTAGCTACGGCATACATTGAAACATTTTATGAGGTGAGGTCACTTGAAGTGACCTGGTGACCTGATGTTGAATGACCTTGGTCTGAAATTTTTACAACACGTGTAGAATTGATGGATGATGGAGCGCCGCCGTTTTTTAGATATCCGCGAAAAACCGCAGGAAAACCCGCAGGTGTTCAACCCCCCAGCAGGGCGCCAACACACTTTGACGATTTGCCCCAGTAGTCAAAATTCCTTAGCCGAGGCCCTGGATGGATTGACGTTCAACAATCATCATTGCTAAATATAAAGTAGCTTTAGATTATTCTGAGTGAATTGTTGAAACACAAATTAAAAAGAAAATGCACCTTGATGCCCGACATCATAACAATGTTGTAAATTTCCAATTAGTTATTTTGTATGTGTTCGAGCATGTGTCATGATAACTTTCGGCAGTCTACAACTTTGTTGCTAAGATTACGCCTGTATCGCGCACCCATCACCTTTCAGGTCCTAGTCTGCCCTGACCTGATCTGACCTGTCCGGTGGCCTGTTGCAGCGTGACGTGGGCTGTCAGCTGGCGTGCCGGTTCCACGCGTCTCCGCCGTCGGCGCCGCGGCTACTGCCGCTGCTGCCCGTCCGGCTGGACGTGCAGTTCGGCTGGTCAGAGGCCCGCTGGACGGTCACAGAGGGCGGCGACTCACAGCTCTCCCGGCGCGGCAGCATCGTCTACCTGCTGCTGGCCAAAACCGGAGACCAGTGGAAGGAGCTTGTCCAGGTGAGAGAATGACGACGACTCGCTGGGGGATTATATTTGTACATTTGACGTGGATAGGCACTCATAAGCAGTTGCGATTTGACGCGATGGCCTGAAATTTGTCATTTTCTTATTCGAATTTGCCGTTAAACATACCGCCAAATGAGCTCTTATCAACTTTCAATCAGTCTCCTTCGTTTTATATGCAGTTAAAACCCTTCTCACGCTTAAATTCACACGCTTACCCAAGTTACGCTGACCACTCTCCCAATTCTCACCACCCCTCTTTCTCTCGTCAGACCCCGGAGGTCAGCGTGGTGCTGATCAACCTGCCGGCGGGCACGACGCTGCGCCTGCTGGCGATGACGCGCCACGGCCAGCTGACCGCCATGGAGACCGTGTTCGCCCCCACCGAGCCCGACCAGCTGGTCCTTGACGTGCAGGACAACCGGCTGCCCGGGGACCAGGAGCGCCAGATGGAGACCTACCAGATCGAGGTGGGCACGGGAGCGCGAGTACCTACCAGATAGAGGTGGGTAGCGGGAGCGCGAGTAGCTACCTGATAGAGGTGGGTACAGGCGACCAGGAGCACTCAGAGATGGAGATCTATGAAATAGAGGTGGGTAACGGGAGTCAGAGAAAGCACCAGATCGGGGCCGGTAAAGGGTCGGGGAACGTCCCGCGAAGTCGGGGAACGTCCCGAATAGATGTCAGCAAGTGAGTCAGGAGACAGGGAAGGTAGTTTTGTCGTGTCTCAGGGAGAGGTGGAGTTACCGGAGACCTGTGACTACAAAAGCCCGAGGACTTATTACAAAGTGTTTGGAATTACGGGGTGATGGTTGGGGAGAGGGAGGGACGTGACGTAATGGACGCCACGAACGTCAGAAACTCACAGATATTGCCTTATTTTGGATTTTGGAGCGGCTAGCAGACGAGAAGTGCTGCCCAATTACAACCGATGATAAGAGATGCGGATCATTAGTGAGGTAGGCTCTTGAGGCAGGATGTAACTTCTTTCCAGCGCAATAATTGGCTATTGTGGTGGTTATGTGTAGTTTGGCTATGTGAACGGAACGTAAGCGGGCAGCGTAGAGGGCGGAGAAAATTGGCCGTAATTGGTCAATAGGGTGTGTCACTAGAAACAGATCAATTGCTTCCGCTGATTTTCCTTGTCCCTGTGTCTATGGAAGCCCATTGGTGCAGTTCTTTTTTCCATGCATCGAAAATTCGATCGGCGCCGGCTAAAAGAAGTTCGGTATTTATCGTGGCGCCCGGCGTTGCAGTCTCCATGTTTGGCGTAATGCGTTTGATGACACTAACACCAGCCGCGCGCGTCTTCGCCTGTTAGCGTTGACAGACGCTGTCAATACGGATGTAAGCAATGCAAACGAGGCAGTATCCTCTTTTTAGACAACGGTTACACAGAAAAGATGCATCTTTGCCATTCAATAGCAAACTGAATTCAACTGAATTAGCATTTGCCTACCTTGTATGGTTCAGGGGACCGATTTTCTTCCAGGCCTCCTTTGAGGAGATGTTGCCCGTCCGCGCGGCTCTGGTGAGCTGATACAGCAGGAGTTGGTCGCTGCTGTGGTCGGCGATGATGTCCGGCAGATCCAGCTCTGGGCCTCTCACCAGTCACCGGTCGGAACTTCACGGGAGAAAAACGGTGCACGGAGCAGCCAGCTGCCTTACCCAACGGCCCCGTGAATGATCCGGGTCCACTGGTTTTGCCGTCCAAGTTCTGGAACACTTCCCTGAGTACAAGCTCATTCGAGTGCAGCTGGCAAGCAAACCAATGGACCGTTTTCTCTTGAATAAGCTCCAAAAGTCGGCATATTCCACCAGATCTGCCCGTATTGACGGCCGCGCCATCGCAGCCTATTAGCTAGAGTGGCAGCGTTTATCAGCTCATTGGCTTGATCAATGGCTTTACCCGAAATTGGCGTAAAGTTGGAGAGATATTCGTTTCCTGGTTCTGCTACCTTAGCCACATGTTCCTCAGCTGCCGTGTCGCCGCCTCGGCCCGTGCTAGTTTGATCATGCCTTCCATCAAAGTACATGGCCTTGAGCTCAGCGTCGCTGTGTTGTTGGTCCCGCGCTGCCACTGTACTTTGTCTCATCCGGCATCTTTCTCTCTATACTTTTTCGGGTCGACCAGCAATTCTGCTTTGCCGCTCGCTACGCGACCGATATCCATCTGAAAACCGTTGATGACGGCCGTCACAGCACGGTTGGATAAACCATACCTGTCAGTCAGCTGCCAGTGCAGTGTTTGTCATATCATCATCGTTTGAGTCTTTGATGCATTTCTTCATCTCAAATCATCTTCAGTGCATCACTTGTGACGTCTTCATTGCTGTCGTTGGTGTCGGTCGTTGCCGACGAGTCTACCTGGCCTGTCTCGTCGATATTGACGCCGTTGGAATAGGTACGGAGGTGGGAAGGACCAGCTTGACCCACGTCGCCCCTCCTCTCGTTCCGCTCCCGTCTCATTCTAAGGCTCGCAGTCTTACGCCGTTTCCTTGTCTCCTCGTAGTCCACACCACCCAGTCTCATCTTCCGAACTCCTCTCTGGTCTCGAAGGAATGCTATTTCCGCTGGCGGTACCCGGTTTGAAAGTGGACAGGTACAGCTTCGCCGATCTTTACAGCGGCAGCGGGCGATGTCAAAAAGCTTACGAAACAGACTCGCTTCAGAAAGACTTTGTTTCGCTTGTCCCTCCTGCATTCTTTTGGGCACCTTATTCGATCGGCGAAATCTTTCGTAGATTTGCTTTACCTTCCGAACCACATTGTGCATTTGTATCGTTGGTATGCCCTCACTCGACCACATTGCAACCACAGCTTCCGCTGCTTCACGTAAACATGCAGTGACTGTCCGCTCACTTTTTCTATCCCCTGCCAAGAGTCTCACATAGTTCAATACAACTCTGTTTGTAGGCAGCTGATTAACCTACCGGCAACACACTGGGAGACCCGATAACAAAATGTTTCGCTTTGCTTCGCAACGGCATCACTGCGGCACGGATAGTCCGATTCGATTGCGCCACACGCATTTCTGCTCACGCCGCAGCTGAAACCAGACTGACCCACGTTCTTCACAAGCTCGTGTGCCTCGGGGAGACAGCACATGACACAAAAGCCGACACATTGTGTTGCCGACGGAGAAAGATACCCGAGACCCCGCTCACGTTGCCCTCTGTCCATCCGTGCTCTCATTCTCTCTGCCCCACTCGTGATAGTCTTGCCAAGGCTGCAGCGTGATCCTATTATATGGATCATCTGTGGGTCCCTGAATGGCCCCAACACATTAAGATAGCAGTATGTTTCGTCCGACGTCCATTTAAACAAGAAATAGCAATCGAATTTTAACCGTCAAACGGTGTTGGCCGCAACAGGCCGACGGCGAGTCATATGGCTGGTGTTATCGCTACGGTACGCATTGTGTTCAGTATGGAGACTTCAACGCCGGGCGCCATGGGAAATGTCGAAATTGATTGGGCCCGCGCCGCCTGAATTTTCGGTGCAGCGAAAAAAGAACGGTGCCAATGGGCTTCAATGAACCCAGGGACGAGGAATATCCGCGGAAGCGCTTGATCTGAGACAAAAATATTAGATATGACACACCCTATTGGTCAAACTGGTTAGATACAGCCCAAATGATGCTGGGACTTATACCTGGACGCGAATAAAGAGCGACCATGACGGACTTGAAGGGCTTCTATCGGCGAGACGACTGGGGAGCGAGGTCAGAGCGGAGCAGGTGGCTGAGGTCCGGAGGGGGTTGGTTTCCGTCACGTCCGGCTGCGGTACGGACGGTGTCCGGTGTGGTTACCAGATTGGACAGCGGTGTCCGGTGCGGTTACCAGATTGGACAGCGGCCGCGGAGGGTGGTGGGCTGTCAGAGACTGAGTGGCCGGTTGTGGTCGCCTGATTGGCCTGGGAGGAGCACGGCGGCGGCGGCGGGGCGGTGGGCAATCGGCCGGGGGTGGGCGGTTAGCGCGCGCGGTGGGTGATGGGCTCTGTCGGCTCTCTCGCTGCTGTTATTGGCCTCGGCCGGCCGACTGGTGTCGGAAAGTTTGACGGGCGCGGCAGGCCGCGTGCTCGGCGCACCAGACGCACTAATGAACACCTGGACTCGTCAAACGTCGCCTCTTGACGCCGGCTTTGACAGACAAATGACGGGGAGGTGCGCGTGCCGCGGTCCATGGGCTGATCGGCCCTCACTGATACTGAGTCGCCGCCCGGCCCGCACACCGCCCGAGGACCCGGCCGCCGTCCGCTGCTAGAGAATTTATGCAGATAACTGGCGTCAAAACCGCCGTGTTTGCTGTCAAATAGCTGTGGCTCCAGCCCACCGCCGCTGGGCGGGTTAGTGGGCTTATTTGCGCGACCTTTGCCATCAGTATTCAGATGTATGACCGCGCCGTGCTCGTCCGTATGCTACATTAGACGAGATAGTTGCGGGTAATTTTCGAGCCGTGTTGTCACTTAAACCAGCGGTCTCTTTGATGCGTGAAATCGTTGTTTGTCTCGAGAAGAACAAATGGCTGGCAATTAAAGAGACATTTGAATCTCAGGCAAATGTGCCCAGATGACGGTTTAATATAAGCCTGAATATATCATCTCATCTTGAGTATGCTGATTGCGATGCTATGAATTTATCATCTCATACATCTGGGCCATAGCTCATCGTCTCCGGGTGCATAAAGCCATCGCTGAGAATTGTAACAAAACTAGTTCCTTTTTCATCTAACATGAGATGTTTTAGTTCTTGGGCAGTTACCGTGCCGGTAACAGGGTATTTCTCATTGCTCGGATTTAGAATGTTATTCATAATTTGTCAGTCTATCACGCCACGTTCACCCCATCCCTTATGGTCACACGTCTCCCCTCTGCGCGGCAGATTCCCGGCGCCTGGCTGCTGGAGACGGTCTCTGTTGCCCGCGACGACAACATGGTTCTGGCCGAGGTCAGCTGGCAGCCGCAGACGGCCGGTCTGGCAGAGTACCTCGTCACCTGGGAGGTCAGCGGCGGGGGCATCAAGGGCCACCTGTACACCGACATGACGTCTGTCACACTTAGCCTCTGGCCAGAGTCCATCTATAACATCCAGGTGAGTTACTGGAGGGGAAGGGGACGAGAGGGAGGGGTGGAGGTCCCATATCGTGAGCCGGATCGCTCCGTTCCACTCGAGATAAATGCATCTGATGTGGGATTTACGGCTATAACACTTTTAGGGACACGAACGTGTCGCGTGCCTGGAATATCATTGCGGCGTTATCAGCGCTATATTATCTGAACGCCGAACATATGCCATGCAGACTCGTATCGCGCCGCCGAATGGAGCCCGCCTCGATAGCATCGGATTCGAAAACACTTCTTTATCACTGCGAGCGACCATCAAAATTACATAAACGTCCCACCAAAGCGGCGGCCGGCGCGGCCAGCTCGGTTTGATGGCCGTCCGAGGCGCTATGGCAGGGGCTTGGCGGCTCGTCCGGGCCGGAGCTGCGGCGAGCTGCAGAGCTCAGCCAGCGCCGGGGCTCTGGCGGATCTCGGCGGTCGCGCCGCTGTATGACCCAGCCGGCTGCCCCGCCCGTCTGCCGCGCTCGCCGCTCGGCCCACACGCTCCTCTGACGAGGTTTTTGCTCCCGCTCGGTCGGCCACCGCCCCGCAGCGTCGGAAAAACTGCACTGGTTTGCGCCGGCCGCGGCTCCGCGCTGCGCGTGCCAGGTGCGGCGGCTCACGCGACGTCACTCGATCGGCACCGGCTCAGTCGGACGTAAATGGATCTCAATGGGGCCGTCGGCATTCCTGGCGCGACGCCGGAGAGCGTCGGCCGGGCGCGGCGCGAGCAGAGACCAGCGGAGGACCGGCCGTCCGCTCCGCTCCGGTCCGGTCCGGAGCGCCGGCCGCTGCCACGGGGCGTCTTCGCCGCGCTCTCTGACTTATGGCGCGAGCGACTCCGCTTTGGGCCGGCTCGGCCGAGTAACTGCATCCTAATTGGCGTTATTAAATTTTGCAGCGAGCAATGATGCAGCCCGATGATAAATCACCACTCTACGATGCACAAGTGTGATTATTTGCATTAGTTTGATTCAGCGCGGAGGCCGGCCGGCGGCCCATGTGCCTCTCGGCGATCCGACCGCGCCAACAAATCTAAATTGGCGCTAAAACCCGTCGGTAATTAGTGGGCTGCGGCCCGTGCCGGTCGGCCGGCGGACCACCAGCAGATGAGCGGCCTTCGGGTCGGCCACCGCCGCTACCGCCGGCGGCGGCGCGGCGCGGCGGCGCTAGTTCGCCCGCCGGCCACCCGCGGCGCTAGTGAGCCGGCAGCTGGTCTCTCGCCCGTCCGCCAGAGGCGCTGAGTGCTGACTGTTTCTCTGTTTGTCCACCAGGTGGAGCTGATGGTATCGGAGGAGGGCGGCGAGCCGCTGAGGTCCGTACCGCTGGTTATCAGCACATACAGCGTGGCCGAGACGGGCCCGGCCGGCCGCGCCGTGCGCAAGGTGCCGCGCTCGGCGCTGGCCGGCGGACCGGCTGGCCAGCGGCTGCCGCTGGGCGACGCGGCGCTGCTGGCGCTGCTGCTGGTGGCGCTCTGCTGCACGGCCCTCTGCGGCCTGCTGGTGACGGCCCGGCAGCGGTGCGCCGTGCCGCGCCGGCCGGCTGCCGGGCCTCCGGCGCCCCGCCTCCTCCCAGCAGTGTCCCGCTGCGTGGCGCACAAAACGGTACCCTCGCCACTAGATGTCACTGCGATCGCTGCCATACACCCGCCCCGCCGGCTCTGATGGGTCCGAGCTGTGTCAGGTCGAGAAACTGCCTCCTGGTTGAGTGAGTGTGAGTCTGCAGTGTATGAGAGTGTCTGGAGTGCGCTGCGAAATGAATTCTACCTTAGTGTTTTCTAATGGGTAGCTTTACTTATGAAGTGTCATATTTGTGTTGTAATTAATTGCGTTCGGTGAATATGACAGATTTGTTGCGTTCCTATAATGTGTTGATGTTCGCTTTACGCTGTAAATGACTCGATACCATGTTGTCAACTGCGCTGAGTTGTAGGCCCATTCACACCATCTTCCGTGTCCTCATATTTCGCCTTCCCACCACGTCCATTCGTCTGGGTCCGTGCCCAGGCGGCGGTGTTGACAGATCTGTCAAATTTATGCGCTCGCTCGTGTAGCCTGCGGCCGCCAAATGCGTTCCATGTGGCGACCCGGAATGTTGCCTGCCGGTGTTGACGGCCGGCGGAGAGTGGCCGCTCATCTGTCACCGCTGGGCTGGCAGCCCGTCATCTGTGTCCGCCCGCCCGGCTGAGGGCCACGTGTGTCCCCCCCTGTTCGAACGGGTCACCGCCCCCCCCCCCCCCCGAGACTGACCATTATCTGTGATACGCATATGCATGATTCGCCGCCGCTGCGTCGCCGGTCGCGGTGCGCGCTGTACAAATACGTGCCTTCGTGTCTGTGAATACATCCAGTTGATCGCGAACGGTCTGTGTTCAGTGGCTGGAGACGCAGCAGCCTCCGGTCGGAGCGCACACCGCCCGCGGACTCCGCGAGCGCAGTAAACACGGCGCACTTCGTCTCCATTATGGCGCACAGCGGCGCGCGCCGGCGGCACAACCGGCCACTCTCAATTATCAATTACGGCGCGGCAGTCAGCAGTGGCGGCGAGGAACGGCGCACAGCGCTGCGCGCCGCCGGGCCGGGGCGTGCGCGGGCCGCGCTGCCATGAAATATGCATATCAGCCGGAATATGGGGACTAATGAGAGGCTACGGCGCTGGGCACGAGACGGACAGCCAGTGCGCAGGTCCAGGGAGGCGCCGCCCCCTCAGGGCAGAGAGCGCAGATCGAGAGGGAGGGAGAGAGGGCTCACCGAAGGAGAGAGGGAGGGTGGGGGGTAATAAGACTCGATGAAGGTTAGTACCAAACGCTGTGGGCTGATTCAGGAGGACACCACGGACAAAGGTTGCAAGCACGGTGTAGTAAGGGTGACGCTTTCCTTTTTCTTACATGCCTATGTTTTGCTTTCAATTACATCAGCGTTTCACTCGGTTACCCAACAAGGCTCGTTAAGATGATGAAATGATAAAATCCCTATAACGATAAAATGACATTGTTAAAATGATTCGTCTCACGTTTGTATTATATGGTATAGGCCATGGTCTGCAATAAGGCGGCTTTTGCGTCGTAGCCCCATCATTCGGTGGCGCTGAACGCTGTTTCGCTCCGCCTGGAGTGGACGTTACGCGGATATTGCAGCAGCATCTTGTCGAGGAAGTGAATACTACTGGTGCCCTAATGAGCACCTCGAGTCTTTAACCTGCAGAATCCGAGCCCACTCACCTTCTCATAAAACGAGGCTTGAACCGACCAACAAGACGATCCCGTTCGCCCCAACGATATTTCCAACTAAGCACAGCGCGTATTTCACACATAATGCCCGTTTAATTTTGAATTCATTCATTAATTTGCGTTACTATTACGTTCTTTATTTGTAAGCCGTTCAGGGCTGCCGTTTCGCCTTCAATATGAGCGGCGAGCGCGCTCTGCCCTAGGCGGGGCTTGAACCCCAGTTTGCCATATTCATGCGCTACTGCAGGAAATGGTCTGCACTTGGTATGCAATATGCCATAGATGTGCGGCACAGGAGGTAGTCCACGTAACCCACGGCCAAGTGATTACCAGTAACGTGCGCCAAACCACGCAAGACGCTACTACATAAGGCCTCAGATGAATTTATTATTTCCTTCACACGTAATGGGCAATACATGCAAGCAATCAAAAGAAGCGTTCTGAAAAGTGGGATATGGTCGAGTCCCGAGTGCATTCCGAAGTTCATGTTCCGCTGTGCAGTGCTTCCCTAAAAGAAAAAAAAAACTGGTGTGCATTTGAAGATTCAACTAAACACTGATATTCACTGCAGATGAGCAGCTCGCTGTAACTACACAGGTTTGATTTTACCCATCGTCCGAAATCTATCTCAATCGATATATCGGTGAGCCGAACAATGTCGGCGGCGCCCAGCCGAACGTCAGCTCAGCAGACCGATTGACGGCACTATCTCCCGTCGTCATTGCGCAACGCTCATTGTCTAGCCTGCAGTTGTCGTTGTGACACCCACCCCCGTCCACCCGACGCATACGTCCGGTCCGCGGGCCTTGTGACCAGCCCGGTACCCGGTCAGCTCCTCACGCTATCGGAACAGGTGACAGTTACTGCCGGCCACGAATCAGCCGCCTGTCGGTCAACATGTTCAACTGGACGTCCAAACACGCTCGCCATCGGCGGTTTGGACACGGCCCGGTGAAGTGATCGCTGATCTGTCGGGAACCTGTTCCTCGGACACCGGTCAGCGGTACCTAACGATGTTTGTTTGCGCTACTCACAGCACTGTAAAATCGAGTTTCTTTTGTTGTTGCTGCCTGGCCTTGCCCTTTATTGTGCATGCTGTTGGATGATACTGTGATAAAGAGCATGCACAACTTGTGTGCATGTGTGCCCCACAAAATATCATTGCATCTACTATGCATTTCAGACCCCATGAGACCCTGTTTTTCGGCGATAATTTATTTAATATTTGTCCAATTTGCTTCAAATTTTCACAATGCACATTTCAGCTCAAGCGCCAATTTTTGTCAATATGGTCTTTTAACAAAATATCAAATTTTAGGGTACTTGTCGTTGCCTCGTAATGTTAAAATCGGCCCCGTAAATCCGTCAGTGGAGTAGAGGCTATCCGTGCGTAGGTGTGACGTCACAAACACGTGACCATTAAGCTCCGCCCTCCCGGCGGACGGGGCGGTGACCTTGGCCGGTCAGTCGGCTGCGTGGAGCGGGCGGGGCAGTAGCCGTCGCACCGGGGCGGCTCGCATGGAGCGAAGCTGCCGTGCAGTTGTCGTTGCAGCCGTAACTTCATCGAATGAGCTAAATAGCGCGCATAAGTAACACACTAACTGAAGCCCTTGACTTTCCATTTATCACAAATGTATACGTACACCTTGTTCAGTCACAACAAAATATCTATTTCCACACAAGATTCGGGGCTTGTGAAAAAAGCGCACATAAAAAACGCTGTTGATTTCAAATGATTGCGTAAAATTATGTATCGTGTCAGACTACGTTCAAATTGCAAAATAGAATCACAATTAATAGGATGCAATTTATGTGTTTGATATATGAAATTTGATTAGGAATGTATGCCGGTGTGATCGATTCATATCATCCCAGTGCAACATAAGCATTGAACACCTTCAGGAGTAATCCATTTTGTCATCGACTTCGGTTGAGGAGGTCGCCGGACTAACTTTACCCCCAGATCTTATATGTTGAAATGCAAACATGAAAAGTAAAAGCCTAGAGAAAAGAGATAGGTAGTTACCTCACCATTGAGGACATACCTACTGCTACATAAGTTTTGCAAACAAAAAAAGTTTTGTGTTTCTTGATGATCGTTCTCGTGTAGTGCCCAACGTCCGCCTGCCACATTCCTATTTCTTTCTGTGCACGCCTTAACAATATAACACACACACAATACACATGACATTCTACCATACGACACATTACGCTTCTGCCCCACCCGGCGCCCCGCACCGCTTCACGAATCACGAATACGGTCGTCTCGCTGGAGCGATGCCCCAGGCAATCGGCCGTGCCCGAGACTCTTCATCCTACCCTGTTGCTTTCTGCGCCTTCCTCAGAAACATCTATTGACGCTGCCAAATATATCAATATTTTTTTGGTCATGCAGAGGCTTACGCATGATCTTATAGGTAATCGGGTAGTGACCTGACCCAACCTGACGATGAGATAGGTGCAACTCCGGCTTAAATAAATATTCAGAGTTCAAGAGTCCATCTATCTTTCCTTCTACGGCCGGTTCCGTTCCAATAGATCCTAGCTTTGATTCTGATCATTCTGAATATTCTGAGCTGGTTCGACGTTTAAATACCAAAATAAGGAGAAGAGGACACCAAATGCCCTCGAACGGATAATTTTTTGGCTTTCGTCCCGAAACAACGTTGCCAGCTTAACTTGTCTCCATTATGTGGTCCCGCTGCGACCTCTCCGCGGTGCTGACACCGACTGAAGCGGCATAGACCCATCGCGGTCACGGCCGGTGGGCGGAGTCAAGTTGAGCACGGCGTAACGTGATTGGCCAGCGCTCCTATCCAATCCGGTGCGGCAACGAGCGAGCCTCTATCCGGGTGCAAAAACTGATTAACATTACGAGCCAACGACAAGTGCTCTAAATTTTGATATTTTGTTAAGAGACCATATTGACAAAAATTGGCGCTTGAGCTGAAATATGGTCTGCCAAAATTTCAAGCTAATTGGACAAAAATTGAAGAAATTATCGCCGAAAAACAGGGTCTCATGGGGTCTGAAATGCATAGTAAGCTACTCTAAAAAGTTTGTGAAAAAAAGCCTAATACACCGAAAAAGTTATGTACAAGTTTCCATCTTGGCTCGCCTTTAAACAATCGGTTAAACCAACCAAGTTCGTTTTAAGACAAGACAACGACAGCTCAGAGACATCTCCGACGTCAAAAAGGCACATACACTAGACTAAACAATAAACAGCTTTCCAAGACGCTTCTGTGACCTTCAAGTGCATAATGCTTGCAGCTTACTGGCATTTAGCCAAAAGCTAGAAACGGTATATTATCGAACCCCGAAACTTCCCTCACGACCAGCTCGCTGAATGACGCATGCACATCTCATCTGCATCACATCGGATCATTGTGCGTATCTCCCCTCTATACTTCAGTAGGTATAAGACAGACGAGTCGTCTTTTCTCGTCTCTCACTCAAGTGATGGACAGACGAACACTCCAGTGCGGTCGCGGCGCCCGCTCTACCCGGCGCCACACAGACAGGCGTGTGCGATAGTCCGTCACGGACTTCCCTGCGCGCTAGCCCTGTCTCCGGCCAAAACAGATAATTAATTGTATCGTGACGGGCCGCTGAGTAGGTTTTGATGTCACCTTAACTCTCCCGGAATCAATAATAGCCGAGGCGGAGTGTCAGCCTCCTCGGCCGCGCCGGACTGCCGCCGGTGCGCCGGTAATCGTCTCCAAGATCTGCTGTTTGTCTCGACTCGTCTCGGCGCACTGATGGAGGAATAACGTGCGTGGCGCCGGGCCTGCGGGCGCTACTTTCGCCCCGGCAGCGCCGCGCGTCTGCCCGTGGGAGGGAGGGGTCACTACTCACTAACGAGCCTGGACCGGGGAGGGGCGAAGGTGGGACACATGGGATGGCCAGGTAGTAGACTCACCGGGTGGCAGGCAGACGCGGAACTGGGACATGTCCGGCTTACCGGGGGGCGAAGACAAGGGAAAAATATAACTTCAGCAGATGAGAGATAACGTGGTGGTGTCGATTAAGTGGGTGTCCTAGACGGAAGGTAGGAGGGTTAAAAAACAAACCCACCCAGCACGTTTACCATCCGTCATTCATATTAGTCACCGAATCTATCAGTGACCGA